GGTTGTTCGCTGCCAACATTTCTCTGATAGTTTTTCCGAATGTTCCCGTGTTAGCCGCGTTGATTATGTGGGCATGTATCGGTGTGGCTAGTGTGGTGAAGGGTAGACCCTCGTTAAAACGGACCCCTTTAATCCCGATATCGGACGAAATCTGAATTAAGCGAGGGACTGTCCGTGTCAAATTTCTGGTTCTGGGATTGTCCGATAGATGGCGCGTGCGTGCCATCTGTAGTGTCTTGCAACTTTGTTATTGCAGCATAGGTTTTGGTTTGGTAAGTTTCTATATGTTTGTTCGATTTTTCCTTTTCCTTCATGTCTTTGATGATATCCTTCCTTACTGGGCATCGTGCTGCCAAAGTGCGGTGATGTCCTTTGCAGTTCGGGCATTTTCAATTTTCATTACGTGTGTCTTTAACTTCCATATTTTCATACGTGGTACAGTTTTGTATCAACTGTGGTCAGGTCTTCTTCATGAGAGTGCTCTTTGTACAGCACAGCTTAAGCATTCATTAGTTATTTTTGACAGATAACTAGTTATAAAGGATAGATCCTGAAATCCTGTTTGATAATAGAGCCTAAAAAGAATTAATGAGATCCCATCCTCCTCCTTTGATGTCATCATAAGAGGTCAGTGGATTATGTGGGGTTGATTCTTCTTCCCGCTCAGTGATAAAGTCTGACAAGTAAATAATTGGTAACTCATGTGCTGTGAAACCTTGAGAGTGATTTCCATACCTTCCAAGCCACCATGGACAACCTTGCTTTGTCAAACATCTGATCATGGGACATGGTTAGGGGGAAGTTGGCTGATGGTCAGTTTAGCCCTAATCACTCTAGTTTAGAGCTTCCAAGGGTTCCAAGCCCTCAAAGTTTGGTGGACACATTTACAACTTAATCTTTATGATGTTATTAAAAGACATTATGCAGCTTAGAGAGCTTCCATCAGGTAATCATGGCTATGCACACAACTGTGGGAAATGGACATGAAATGTTGGAGATGATTATGATGATATCAGCCTTTTCCTGCTATGGGTGGAGAGCAACTGAAACAAGTTGTCGTCACTCCTTCTACTTTATAGTTAAGATTTCAATTGTGTTTAATTACCTGTTTCTGAAAGAGACTTTCTTGTTGCAGGTGACCTTCCTGGAAATTACCGAGACTTAGTGTGCTTTGAAAAAATCCTCTGGAGAGTGGGTCCAGGACTTACACTTGCAAACTTCCTGTTTCTTGGGTTGAGGTGAGTGTTCTTCTTCACTGACAACATGTTTGTTTATTTCTGTGAATTAATATGTAGTAATATCGAGATAATATGCATGTTATAATAAAATTTTGGATAAAATTAGAGCAATACAGTCATGGGGCGGGGCATCTTTTCTCAGCTGAGAAAAAAATTAAGTACAGATGCTCCTCTACTTGCGAAAGAGTTACGTTCTTGAGGCTTGTTTGTAAGTCCAACTTTACTCCTGTAGATACCAAACTTATTGTAAAAACTGAAAAGATGATGGATATTTAGCCCAGCTATACCCTTTAATACAGCCTTAAAACCTGGCTCACTCTTCTCCTCTTAGGTAATGTTTGTTTTATCTGGAATTTTCTTGAACGTTCTTAAGTAGAGGAGCACCTTTATAGTGGTGTTTCCTTATTATTTCACACTATTATACTTAGCAATATTATAAATCTCTGGCTAATAATAGGGACGGAAAGATAAATACTGATAGGCAAATGAGTTTTTTATTATTATTTTATTTTGGGGGGGTTTATGAGGGGGGTGTAAGATGAGTGCTGTTTTTGGTGATCATTAACTTGTTTTACAGTATTAGTCCACAATAATAAGAAAATTTGGGAGAAAAAATTCGGTTATTGTTGGGGTTGAGGCAACTAGATATGTCTGATTACAGCAAATGTGTTATTGTCAATTTGTAGGTGAAAGATTTTATCCTCAATAGATGTAGGTTAACATTACACCTGGAGGCAAATGCCTAAAGAAGGAAGGATATTCCTTTTAGTTGTGTGAAAAAATATTAAACAAAGTATATTATCATAAGTTTTCTTTTACAGAAAAGATGTATACTACTCCCACGAGGAAAGAACGGCTATCTTTGATTATATCGTCAAAACGAAGAGGTTCGGAGAGGTTAAAGGCACAGTGTTTGGCAGGATATGGCCGAGGCCCAGGTAATACTACACCTCTTACTGCAGTACCTGTTCCTGTTATAGCACATGAACCATCATGTTTATTAATACTCTACTTGTTTTATGCATGCATACATACAGTCAGCCCTAAACATACACGGGGGTTAGGTAAGAGAGATACCCATGAATGTTAAAAATCCGTGTACTTTTGCCTCCCCCCCCCCCCTAAAAAACCCCTGGCCCCCCCATGTCCTTATTTACCATGTATACCTGTGTGTAGTTCGAGTTTTTAAGACCAAATTATTTGGCAAAAAATTAGGGGTTGACCTCTAAACGGCTAATAGTTTCGTTAGGTTGAAAAATATTTACCAGGAACTACCAGTAAACAATGGAAACGACACACCACCGGCTGTGAGTGTCGGTACAGCTGCCAGGGCAGATCTCTTGCATCATAATAGCAAGCCCAAAGTAACCAAATGCATGGTATGGTATACACAGTATACTGCTAGATCTGGGGGTCACTAAATCTAAGGGGATAATTTAACTCTAATCTTAATGTCTAAGGGTCGCTGCCACCAGACCCCCTCTGGACAGCATGTAGCTCGTTAGGTAGCAGGCAGAGTGGACTAGGCATTGGGTTAGGTTTTCCATTGACCAGATCGATGAGGGTAAAGAAGGGGGAAACCATAACATGTCTTAATTGATTTATTCCTTCTAAAACATACTGGTAAAAACAACATACATGAATTGGCCTTCCTCAGAAGAACAACGGAATTTTGGTTACCCAGCTGGGCCCCAGACTCCTACATTACTGGCGGGTCATCCACCCACTTATTGCATAACAATCGGTGAACGCCGTATCTCGGTCGTTCCTTCTTACAATATCCCTTAACACATCAGACTGTTCCACTGGTGTGGATTTTAGCACCGTCGGTTATCATACATAGTAGCACCATCTCAACACACCTGTTACACTCCATACCTGCAAGTATGTGACTCCTTGTGACTTTTAGGTATACACAACGGGCACCTCGTTCGCACACCGCCCTCGGTGGGTAAAGACGAGGGCTTCACCTAGAGACATACCAGCACTATTTCTACGCCTGGTATTATAGGTCGCTCCAAGTGACGACCGCAGTTTCTCACGGTCTCCTTAGTTGTGACTATTCATGTGGAGTGGTGCGCTGGGAATCCACCGGTTCATAGTGGACTGGTATAGTGGGGAGTCATTCCCCACCTGGTGTGGCGCTCAAGGAGACAATGGCGGCCGGGCGGCAAGATACCCCGACCACGTGGCACCTGTGGTGACGGCAGAACGGGAAAGACTAAGCAATAATGCCTGACGGGCGGTTATCCCACCCCTTAACACATCCCTATCACACTTATATATCCGGCAAAGCTTTAAACTGTAGTAACTGCTATTTATCAACCTTACTTGTAGGGCGGGATATAGCCCGCTAGGACACTGACCTGTGGTGACGGCAGAACGGGAAAGACTAAGGCCGGCTTCCCGCCGCTTCTCGTCACATAGGCCTACAGTTTCCAATCCTCAATTTACACTTTTGTTTCTTATGGTTCTCACCTGAACACTTCACGGTATCTTGTCACTCATTTCTTATAAACACATATATTAATCCTAAATTACACACTAAGGTCAGGTCTTGGTTTGCTAGTGCTTGGTTAAATGCCTGGGATTTTAATATCAACGGGGCATCTGAGGCGGGTACATGACGCGCCTTGAAACAAAAGCCGAATGATCATGGCGGGGGTGTATCAACTTCACTTAAAAACTGTAATGAGGGATCCTCCTCTCACACATTGCACTATTTGAACACAGACATAAGATTCTCTGATCACTGTACCTGTCGTGGGTATATGTCACGTGAGGCTACGAGGTGTATTAAATTCATACCGACGCATACACGATATTTCCTTTCCAGTATAGTTTCTAGATCACTGTCAACACCTCACATAGTTCTGATACATTTATCCTTTTTCCAGATCATTGTTCTCATGTATTTTCATATGATATCTGTTGGAGTTATGTTCGCTCCACGCTCACAGACGTAAATAGTAGGACCTTCAAACCCTGATCCACACTTAGTCTTACAGTACCCTAGTCCGGCTCAACTGGACTTTAACATTCATCTTATGCCTACCCTGAGTGATCCTTAATGCTATGAATACATACACGTGATATGATATAACTATACCTGGGTACAATACAACACAGGGTCTAGGAACCTTGAGTAGGTGAGTTGTCCTTTCTCAATGTTTCCCGTTTTCTGGGGTTCTACAAGCGCTGTGCATTTGAATGTTATGTAGCGTAATATGAATTAGATGGGATTTTTAGGGATGACAATGATGTGCGCAGTACAACAGGACGATGTAAAACAAAGTATTCATTTTTTAAAGTTTATTTATAGATACTGTACATAAATTTTTGTTCATTACATTTGAAACATCAATCTTTGTTAATTAAATTTGAAACAAAAGAAAACTACTATACCATATTCTCATTAAAATATTACATCACAAGTATATTTTACCTTAACTGTGACTGAATGAATATATTCTCAGAAATAAATATGAAAATGTAATATTTTGGCTGAAATGACGTACATATTACAGTGGAAAGTGGGATAAAATCATGACGAAAACAATGACTTTCGCTTTCTTTCGTTGTTCGAAAGATTTTACCGTAATCGCATTTCGAATGGTTTTGAGTTAAAAAACTGTTGTACCGTACCGTATTACAATAATATTCTATCCTATCATTAGCCTCATAATCCCACAACTGAAAACCATTCGAAAAGTGATTACGGTAACGTGTTTTGAACGAAAGAAAGCGAAAGTCATTGTTTTCGTCACAATTTTATCCCACTTTCCACTGTAATATGTACGTCATTTCAGCAAAAATATTACATTTCCATATTCTCAGAAATAAATAGTAGTTTTGTTGAAACGTAATGTACGGTATTTAATATTAAAATGCAAAAAGAGCTATAAAATCAATTAATACTGTACATCCGTAATGTACTGGCTGGCATCCCCACTCGTCCCTGCTGCCGCCAGTCACCGCACCTCCCCGCTCTATGCCTCTGCCTCCTCCACGTCGTCACTACTGTTGTATTACAATAATATTCTATCCTAATTCACTTAAATAAGTACTACGATACCATATTTCTGAATATTTTCATTAAAATCCATCAAAATCTATTTCATTGTCATCGTCTTAAGCACCAAAGAGCTCCTCCCAGTCTTCTCCTTGAACAGGGCTAGATGGTACGTGTTTTTCGAATCGTTTTCAGTTAAAAAACTATTACATGTATTATATCAAGCACAGTATGAATAGAATATCATTGTAATATAACAGAATTTCATCCGAAAACTATTATAAAAACGAGTAACATCTTAAGAACATCGGAAGCTTAGGTAAAGTCTTTTGTTTTCGTCATGTATTTTTATCCTAATTTACATTGAAATACATCACGTTTCAGCAACACTATTTATTTCCAAGAATATATTCATTCGGGCGCAGTTTAAGTAAAATATACGTGTGATGTAATAGTTTTTTAACTGAAAACGATTCGAAAAACACGTACCCTCTAGCCCCGTTCAAGGAGAGGACTGGGAGAAGCTGTTTGGTGCTGCAGACGATGACAAGGAAAATGATTTTGATGGATTTTAATGAAAATATTCAGAAATATGGTATCGTAGTATTTATTCAAGTCAATTAGGATAGAATATTATTGTAATACAACAGTTTTTTAACTGAAAACCATTCGAAAAGGGATTACGGTAACATCTTTTGAACGAAAGAAAGATTAAGTCATTGTTTTCGTCACGATTTTATCCAACTTTCCACTGTGATACGTACGCCATTTCAGCAAAAATATTACATTTCCGTGAATGCATTATATCAAGCACAGTATGAATAGAATACCGGTGTAACATAACATTATTTTGAGTCTTACTCTTTCCATTTACAGAGTACTGTACAAGCCCATGATAATGGCTCCTATAGGTGATAAACTTCGTTGTGTGAAGAGAAAGAATAACTCGTTGAAATTGAGTGACAAACTTGAAATAATTAAGAAACTAGAATGTGGTGTGAGCAATACTGTTCTAATGGAAACATACGACATTGGAAAACAAACAACTGCTGTACTGAATAACTATTAATTTATGGACATATTTTTATCATAAACTGTTGTGTATATTAACTGTTTTTGTTTGTTTGTTCCAGATGTGTTAACGACTAAACCCTTGAGAAATTAACAACTGGATCATGGAGACTCTGCTGCTACAAGTATGTCTTTATGTCTGTCTAACTGTCTATCTTTATCTATCTGTGCTTCTATATCTTTCTATCAGTCTTTCAATACCTGTATGTCTGTCTGTTTGGTATCTATATCATCTATCAGACTGTCTTTATATATACAAGCATCTGTCTTATCTATATCTATGCTATCAGTAAGAAAGATATTGACATTGAGTGAGGAAGGTGGATACACAAGAGGTACAGTGAATGATGGTGGGTACACAAGTGGTACAGTGAGTGAGGAAGGTGGGTACACAAGAGGTACAGTGAATGAGGATGGTGGGTACACAAGAGGTACAGTGAGTGAGGAAGGTGGGTACACAAGATGTACAGTGGAGTGGATGGCAGACTGCAGGATGTTGCTGACTGTAAGTGTTATGTATGTGCAGGTAAATATGTGTCCATGACAAGACTGAAGAAACTCAACACTGAAGATTATCCGTGGACTGTGTGGATGAGTTCTGCTGCCTGGGTGACATGATCAGTGCTGGAGGGGGTGCTGAAGGCTGCTGTGTTGTGAGTCATGGAATGGGTTCTGCTGCCTGGGTGACATGATCAGTGCTGGAGGGGGTGCTGAAGGCTGCTGTGTTGTGAGTCATGGAATGGGTTCTGCTGCCTGGGTGACATAATCAGTGCTGGATGGGGTGCTGAAGGCTGCTGTGTTATGAGTCATGGATGAGTTCTGCTGCCTGGGTGACATGATCAGTGCTGGAGGGGGTGCTGAAGGTTGCTGTGTTGTGAGTCATGGAATGGGTTCTGCTGCCTGGGTGACATGATCAGTGCTGGAGGGGGTGCTGAAGGCTGCTGTGTTGTGAGTCATGGATGAGTTCTGCTGCCTGGGTGACATGATCAGTGTTGGAGAGGGTGATGAAGGCTGCTGTGTTGTGAGTCATGGAATGGGTTCTGCTGCCTGGGTGACATGATCAGTGCTGGATGGGGTGCTGAAGGCTGCTGTGTTGTGAGTCATGGATGAGTTCTGCTGCCTGGGTGACATGATCAGTGTTGGAGAGGGTGATGAAGGCTGCTGTGTTGTGAGTCATGGAATGGGTTCTGCTGCCTGGGTGACATGATCAGTGCTGGATGGGGTGCTGAAGGCTGCTGTGTTGTGAGTCATGGATGAGTTCTGCTGCCTGGGTGACATGATCAGTGTTGGAGAGGGTGATGAAGGCTGCTGTGTTGTGAGTCATGGAATGGGTTCTGCTGCCTGGGTGACATGATCAGTGCTGGATGGGGTGCTGAAGGCTGCTGTGTTGTGAGTCATGGATGAGTTCTGCTGCCTGGGTGACATGATCAGTGTTGGAGAGGGTGATGAAGGCTGCTGTGTTGTGAGTCATGGAATGGGTTCTGCTGCCTGGGTGACATGATCAGTGCTGGATGGGGTGCTGAAGGCTGCTGTGTTGTGAGTCATGGATGAGTTCTGCTGCCTGGGTGACAATGGCTGGAGGAGGTTTTGGGAATTCTTGTCTTTATTGTCAGCATGGGGACTTTCCCATCACATGAAAGTAAGAATGTATACAACTGGTGTGAGAAGTGTGGTGTTATATATCCGTGAAACATGGGCAGTTAAAGAGGATGACATATGCAGTCTTGAGTGAGCTGAAATGAGAATGGTGAGGTGGATGTGTACTGTGACGCTGAAAGATGAGAATCGCCGTTCAGAGCTAAGAGGGCGGCTGGGTATTGAGAGTATCGGCCAAGATTTACGTATAAGTAGACCGAGATCGGGAGGGTGGGGAGAATGGATGAGACCAGCTGGGTTAAGTGGTGCATGAGTCTAAATGTGGTGAGGAGGAGAGCCAGTGGTAGGTGGCCAAGAATGACATGGGGAGAGATTGTAAGAAATGATCTTAGAACCTGACAAGACAGACTGCAGGAGAATGGCTGTATGATTTGGGTGGTGATGATGATTTTGTTCTTGCATTCTATCTAAGTTTCAGGCTATCTATCTATCTATCTGTCTATCTATCTATACTACTGTACTGTATTTCTCACCATATTAAAGGCAACCACAGATATAGATATAGCATGAAAGGTTTATAGTCTCAAGAAAGTTCACCTAAACTAAACTTTCATAAAAGGAATTGCAATGTGTTCCATAACATGTACAGTACAGTTGACCCTCGCCAATGTGAAGAACGGATAAAAATAATGATAATAAATAAGAGGAAGGACAAAATACTGCATGCCATTTGACAATTGTTTCACTAAAGATGTGGGAGACAGGGATGTGCTCCCCATTCTTGGGCTGACTCCTGCCGACGTAATAAAAATATATGTCTTATATGGTGGGAAATATGGTATATCTCTCTACATCTTTCTGTCCATCTGTCTACAGTATATCTGTCTTATATGTACTGTAGACAGAACTACTGTACTAACCATGATAGACAGTTGACAATGCATGTGATTAATACCTGGAATACAAATATTTGCAGGAAAATGTCCAATGTATTCAGCAACTAGACCACTTTAGTGATATAGAACCATGAAAATATTGTTTATTGTTTTTATACCAAAACACTGGTGATTGTCTCTCAGATACATCAGGAGTTGTATATCTTTAGTGGTGTCCTGGGTTCATTGCCCAGCCTGGGACAGATGTTACCCTCACTAACAAACATGGCAGGTTTTCTGCAGGTACAATACTACAGTTTCCTCCCATACTGTACAGTTTTAACAGACCAACTGCCTAAACGGCTCATTACCGGTAATTACGACGTCGCTACGTGAATCCTAATTTAATGTTGACTCGGCCATAGTGAGCTTTAACATTTATGCCACTGATGAATGAGTCTTGATCACACACAACTATAAGGTGGCCTTCTCTTGCCACTCCATCTCTCCTCTGGCCTTTATTGTGTAAAAGCCAAGAATTATTATTGTGTGAGGATGTAGTGGATCTGAGGTGACAATGATAAATATTTTGGCGTTAAGTCGGTGGTGTGGTACTGTGCAGGTCTGACCCACCTGTTACAAACTACTGCAGGGAGTGAAGACCTTCCTTAAAAGGTTTAACTTGGCAGGATTCAGAAGGCCACAACACAGACGTCCTCAACGGCACTTGATGGTTTATAACGGCCATTTATTATTACTTACTTTTGACCTTGATGATGTGGTTCAGCCATTATCAGATGCAGGTCAGGAACACAAAGGACTGTTCCTCTATAATGCTCACTGAGTAAATGAGGATAGTTGCTTCAAGGCTCCACTGGGCAGATTGTTACCAGGTTTTATTTACAATTCTTAATTATTACATGGAATTATACATTTTCCACAATATATACTGAACTGTATACCTGTGTTGTCTATATACATGGTGAACTGTATACCTGGGTTGTCTATATTGTTTTAGCTGTGGTAAGATACCAAACTATCTCACTTGTTAACACTTGCCTGAACGAGTGTAGGTTAGTCGCTGGTACCTTTGATGCAGCCGAGTGAGATATAGGGTCATCTCACGTCATGTCACCTTTGATACAGCTGAGTGAGATATAGGGTCATCTCACGTCATGTCACCTTTGATACAGCTGAGTGAGATATAGGGTCATCTCACGTCATGTTACCTTTGATACAGCTGAGTGAGATATAGGGTCATCTCACGTCATGTCACCTTTGATGCAGCTGAGTGAGATATAGGGTCATCTCACGTCATGTCACCTTTGATGCAGCCGAGTGAGATATAGGGTCATCTCACGTCATGTCACCTTTGATGCAGCCGAGTGAGATATAGGGTCATCTCACGTCATGTTACCTTTGATGCAGCTGAGTGAGATATAGGGTCATCTCACGTCATGTTACCTTTGATACAGCTGAGTGAGATATAGGGTCATCTCACCTTTGATACAGCTGAGTGAGATATAGGGTCATCTCACGTCATGTTACCTTTGATACAGTCGTAGATAGTTTAAATTGTCACAGCTGTCCTGAGTTGTACTTGTAATTATCTTCGCTTGTAAGTTAAGCAAGACACACAGATAATGTTCTCTTCACTCGTTGTTCCTTGGTTTAATGTAAACACACATGCTGATTTAATAGTTATATTGGGTAGTAATGTCTGTACAATTATTTGGTATTGACAGACTAATGAGCATTAGCTATTGGCTTGTAATTAGCTGATATAATTAGAGAGAGGTACAGCCCGGAGAGCTGGTCTCACTTTAGGGCATCGTGTCCGGCTGTGAACTGGGCTGAACTCTCTTGAGTCTGGTGACTGGACAGTAACCACACTTCAACAGGTCATTAACTAAACAGCCTACCACACACTGAGGGTTGAGTCTGTAGTTTAATGGGCTGTACACCCCAGGAGGTGTGACAGAAGAAATGTTTATGGGCTGTACACCCTAGGAGGTGTGACAGAAGAAATGTTTATGGGCTGTACACCCTAGGAGGTGTGACAGAACAAATGTTTATGGGCTGTACACCCTAGGAGGTGTGACAGAACACATGTTTAAGGGCTGTACACCCTAGGAGGTGTGACAGAACAAATGTTTATGGGCTGTACACCCTAGGAGGTGTGACAGAACACATGTTTATGGGCTGTACACCCCAGGAGGTGTGACAGAACAATGTTTATGGGCTGTACACCCTAGGAGGTGTGACAGAACAAATGTTTATGGGCTGTACACCCTAGGAGGTGTGACAGAACAAATGTTTATGGGCTGTACACCCTAGGAGGTGTGACAGAACACATATTTATGGGCTGTACACCCTAGAAGTGTTACAGAACAAATGTTTATGGGCTGTACACCTTAGGAGGTGTGACAGAACAAATGTTTATGGGCTGTACACCCTAGGAGGTGTGACAGAACACATATTTATGGGCTGTACACCCTAGAAGTGTTACAGAACAAATGTTTATGGGCTGTACACCTTAGGAGGTGTGACAGAACAAATGTTTATGGGCTGTACACCCTAGGAGGTGTGACAGAACCATCTGCAATGTTACAGAACAAATATGGGCTGTACACCTTAGGAGGTGTGACAGAACAAATGTTTATGGGCTGTACACCCTAGAGGACAGAACATACGTTTATGTAGCTGTATGCTCAATAGTCTGGGTGATAGAATGTATATAATGAATATATTTCCTTAGCTCATATTTATATAATATTAATGTGACAGAGGCTAATACAATATACTGAACTGTATACCTATACAGTATTGTCTATATACATGGTGAACTGTATACCTGTATTAGCTATATACATAATGAACTGTATACCTACATTGTCTATATGCAGGTTGAACCAATTGTAAACTTATATGATAAGTTTACATAATAATATATATATATATAAGTGTCTAGTGTATGTAAATATTTTGATCTTTCCTCTGATAATGTTGTTTCATCACAGGTGTTACTCTGTTGTAGTGTGAGCCAGTGTGAGGTGGAGGTCAATATTAAACTGAGATGTTTAGCTGTGGCTCTGGAAGATTGACAATTTGTCTTATTTTAATTATAAACCAGAACACCTTTATTTCTCACTGTTTATCCAGGTATAATTTGGCTAAATTTATATTTTAAATTTACCTGGACTTAGAATTCCATCACAATATGATTTGAAATTAAAGAACAAAATTGTTTTTAAGGACTTTAGAATTAATGTGATTTAGTGAGACTGTTGAACCGTTCAGGTACTTTACATATATTTACCATTTAGGTTAAACTAAGCCATAAATACATTTTATTGTTCGTTTAGGAATTCTATCTCATTAGTTCGGCGTCATTTAATGTTGCCGTAAAATCTGTCGAGTGACTTGAGCGGCAATTATTCTGTTATAGTCGTGGCAGTTAATGTTGTTTTAGGAGATGCAGTTTATTGTGTAGTGATCTCCGTTTAAACAAACTATTTTTATTGTCCAAATTTGTCGCGCTGGGTTATGAAGGTGTGCGTGGTGGGAAAGGCTTTGGAATAAGGAATACTGAAGGTGAAAGAACACTTGAGTTTGGGGATGGTATGTAACATGTGTTTAAGAATAGGGCAAGTAGGCTGACCGTGTAGGCCTAAGGCAGGTGGCACAGAAACCCAGATTGGCTACATTTTGGTCAGGAAATTAGAACAGGTTGCTTGTGTGTGTGTGTGTTACTTAAAGATGGAGGGAGAGGAAGAAGGTGGATGTTCCAAGAAGGAGAGTGTGGGAATTGTGAAGGAACTGAATGTAAAAGAAGCATTTTCTTATGAGTTGAGAGGCTAGGAAGCAGCCAGTGAGGGGCAGTGTACCAAGACGCTGGGCCATAATAAAAGATGTTCCGTTGAGTGTGGTTGATGGCGGGAATGATGAAGTGGAAAGAGAGATAAAAAGAGAAAAGAAGATTGTGTGAGATGTGGAAGATGGTTGGCAACAGAGAGAAGTACAGTACCTGGAGGCTAAACTGAGATGGTTCAGGAGAGAAAGGAGGAAACTAACTGGGTTAAGAGATACACAAATGAATGTGGAGGGGAGGGGAGTTACAGGTAGGCAAAGAATGACATGAGGATAGGTTGTAAAGAAATGTCGGTGCTACTATAGTACCTGAGTATGTTTGTTGGTTGGAATGATGAGGAACAATCTGAACAGAAAACAAATGAATACAGTAATTGAACACAAAAAATTTAGGAATTGTCGAGTAATATCAAAATATTCGAAACTCGGTTAATTCGTATTTTCGGTAATTTGAGTGACGCAGAGTCTCTTTTGTCAAATCAATGAGAGTATAGTGCCGTTTGTGGTCCACCGAATTACTGAAAATACAAATTAACCGAGTTCCGAATATTTTGACATTATTCCACACTTTCTCAATCTTTTTGTTCAATTATTTGTTCGTTTTCTGTTCAGATTGTTCCTCATTATTCCAACCAACAAACATACTCAGTTACCATGCCTTGACTGCCACACAAAATAATCTTATTTATAATTACTGTGCAAACAAATATTTTTTAAGTGCACAAACAGTAATAATAAAGTAAATAATACAGTAATAAATAACTGTAAGACTTACTGCACATTGTGAGGTGAACTGATAATATGTGGATGATATTCAGAAAGTGTAATAGTATTGAGGATCAGGTCTGGGGTCCACTGCTCTCATCAAGAAGATTAATCCCCAACCTACCTAACTCAGGAGACTTTTCCTTTGTTCTATGTATTTCTCCCTTGTTTTGTTGTGTTAGTTGGCAGAAGAGGGACCTATAGTGTGTTTTATCCCATCTGAGAAGAGATATGTAATTTGTGTATTATTGCGGGTAAAAATAAGTATATATTAAATGCGTCCTCCGAAAGCGTCAATTTGCCACCAGAGTTTAACAGTTAATTCTTGTATAATATTTCTGATAAACTTCCTACATGTTTATGTTTGATATAATTAATGTATGAATCTTTAAATAATTTAGCTAAATGTCTTTCTCGTCAGAAATGGTCATTATGAATAAACTCATTTAGAAATAGCTACATCATTACTTCAGGAGGAAATCGGACAGATTTGCAACAGCCAATCAGGTGTAACTCTTGAGGAGGGGGCGGGGCATCTCTTCTCATCTGATAAAATATGCACAATAGTCAAATCAGCTCCAAAATTTCATCTTATATTTCTCCAAAGAGGGTTTTTACTTCATTTACCAGTGTGGCCGTTACACTTATGGAATATCATCTACGATCTCACCTCTCATTATTTATTACTGTATTATTTACTTTAATATTGTAAGTACTGTACATTTTATAACTATTTATATTTGCACAATAATTATAAATATAATATTGTATATGACAGCCAAGGCAACTTTTTGAACCACTCAGTTATTTCATATTCATTCCAAATTCAAATCGCTCAATTAATTTTTTGAGAAACATACGAATTAAACCGAAGTACGAATTGCAGCGATCTTATTCAATGAAAGTCCAAAAATTCATCATTTAAAATATTTAAGTCTAAACATTCATCATTTAAAATATTCCAAGTCCAAAAATTCATCGTTTAAAGTATTCTAAGTCCAAAATTTATTCTAAGTCCAAAAATTCATTGTTTAAAAATATTCTAAGTCCAAAAATGGCCAAAATTATTCCTGGGCATATTTTGAGTAATAAATTTTTGTGTGGTTTTAGAGGTAAAACATTTGTGCCATTCTTACGAGCTCCAGCTTGGCATCTGTGTATTATAAGGCATAACGGACTACCTGGACGTGGGGAGAGTAACTCACTGGGCCCCTACTGAGTTACTCTTCCCACGGCCAGGTATTCCATTATGCTTGTATTTTTTTATATTATTGGTGAATGATAATTTGAAGGCCTTCCTCCGGAGACGCTTCCGATTATCTTTTACCAAATTTTTTCAACGTTAGTCCTGGCAATGGCAAACTCAAAAAACACTTAAGGGTAAAAAAAGGGAAATTTTTTTGCTCAAATTTTGCAATTTTTAGCCATTTTTTCATAAAAAAAATGCCAATTTTTTCATATTTTTAGCTATTTTTTCATATTTTTAGCTATTTTTTCATATTTTTAGCTATTTTTTCATATTTTTAGCTATTTTTTTCAGGTTTTTAGGTTATTTTAGTTATTTTTTTTATTTTATATATTTTATTTATATATTTTTATTTATATATTTTATTTATATATATTTTTTATTAATATATATTTTATTTTATATTTTTTTATTTAATTATATTTTATTTATTTATATTTTTTTTATTTATATATTTTATTTATATATATTTTTTTATATTTTATATTTTTTTATTTATATATACAGTATATATATATATATATTATTTATATATTGTTTATTTTTCAAGTTTATATATATTTTTCATTTGTATATTATATTTGTATATTATGAATTAAGATATTTTTTCAAGTATTACATTAAATTATTTTGCTTCAAAATCTGAAGCTGAACTTAGTCAATTTTCTGTAAAAGTTGAAAATATTGTAAATGCTGGAAAAGGTTAATAAAGACGTAATGACATTTAGACATTTATTAATGGAAACTTAATGGCTCTATAAATTTGCAGGCCAGGGCAGCAAGCACAGAGCAGTCCAGGGGAGCGGTAGTCCAGGGCAGCAGCATGCACAGAGCAGAGCCGTTAGGGGGCAGGGAAAAAACACTTTTATTTGAGTTGCAGGCTGCACTTTTCAGGCAGAGAGAAAACGTATTTTTGGCCAAAAATCCTTTAAGGCTTTAGACTTACAATTTTCGTCATTTCGGCCAAAAAATGGATTTTGTTCAAAATTTCAGTATAGGTACTCCTGAATGTGCTGCTTAAGGATCTGTTAACCAAAATTTGATATCTTGATTATAACTTGTTCAAATGGCTTTTAGAAAATGTTCAAATGATTTTTAGAATATTTTAATTACTTTTGCAATGCTAATTACTCGCCACTTATGGGTTTTCGAGGTCATTTCTTGGTGCTTGTGTATTATTCTGGATGTACTTAAATAGTTAGGCACATTAAATTTTAGTTCAGAGAGAAAACGTATTTTTGGCCAAAAATCCTTTAAGGCTATAGACTTACAATTTTTGTCATTTCGGCCAAAAATGGATTTTGTTCAAAATTTCAGTATAGGTACTCCTGAATGTGCTGCTTAAGGATCTGTTAACCAAAATTTGATATCTTGATTATAACTTGTTCAAATGGCTTTTAGAAAATGTTCAAATGATTTTTAGAATATTTTAATTACTTTTGCAATGCTTACTACTCGCCACTTATGGGTTTTCGAGGTCATTTCTTGGTGCTTGTGTATTATTCTGGATGTACTTAAATAGTTAGGCACATTAAATTTTAGTTCAGAGAGAAAAATTATTTTTGGCCAAAAATCCTTTAAGGCTTTAGACTTACAATTTTTGTCATTTCGGCCAAAAAATGGATTTTCAAAATTTCAGTATAGGTACTCCTGAATGTGCTGCTTAAGGATCTGTTAACCAAAATTTGATATCTTGATTATAACTTGTTCAAATGGCTTTTAGAAAATGTTCAAATGGTTTTTAGAATATTTTAATTACTTTTGCAATGCTAATTACTCGCCACTTATGGGTTTTCGAGGTCATTTCTTGGTGCTTGTGTATTATTCTGGATGTACTTAAATAGTTAGGCACATTAAATTTTAGTTCAGAGAGAAAACGTATTTTTGGCCAAAAATCCTTTAAGGCTTTAGACTTACAAATTTTGTCATTTCGGCCCAAAAATGGATTTTGTTCAAAATTTCAGTATAGGTACTCCTGAATGTGCTGCTTAAGGATCTGTTAACTAAAATTTGATATCTTGATTATAACTTGTTCAAATGGCTTTTAGAAAATGTTCAAATGATTTTTAGAATATTTTAATTACTTTTGCAATGCTAATTACTCGCCACTTATGGGTTTTCGAGGTCATTTCTTGGTGCTTGTGTATTATTCTGGATGTACTTAAATAGTTAGGCACATTAAATTTTAGTTCAGAGAGAAAACGTATTTTTGGCCAAAAATCCTTTAAGGCTTTAGACTTACAATTTTTGTCATTTCGGCCAAAAAATGGATTTTGTTCAAAATTTCAGTATAGGTACCCTGAATGTGCTGCTTAAGGATCTGTTAACCAAAATTTGATATCTTGATTATAACTTGTTCAAATGGCTTTTAGAAAATGTTCAAATGATTTTTTAGAATATTTTAATTACTTTTGCAATGTGCTAATTACCTGCCACTTATGGGTTTCGAGGTCATTTCTTGGTGCTTGTGTATTATTCCTGATGTACTTAAATAAGCGAAGTACATTAAATTTTAGTTCAGAGATAAAATGTATTTTTGGCCAAAAATCCTTTAAGGCTTTAGACTTACAATTTTTGTCATTTCGGCCAAAAAATGGATTTTGTTCAAAATTTCAGTATAGGTACTCCTGAATGTGCTGCTTAAGGATCTGCTAACCAAAATTTGATATCTTGATTATAACTTGCTCAAATGGCTTTTAGAAAATGTTCAAATGATTTTAGAATATTTTAATTACTTTTGCAATGCTAATTACTCGCCACTTATGGGTTTTCGAGGTCATTTCTTGGTGCTTGTGTATTATTCCTGATGTACTTTAAATAGTTAGGCACATTAAATTTTAGTTCAGAGATAAAATGTATTTTTGGCCAAAAATCCTTTAAGGCTTTAGACTTACAATTTTTGTCATTTCGGCCAAAAAATGGATTTTGTTCAAAATTTCAGTATAGGTACTCCTGAATGTGCTGCTTAAGGATCTGTTAACCAAAATTTGATATCTTGATTATAACTTGTTCAAATGGCTTTTAGAAAATGTTCAAATTATTTTTAGAATATTTTAATTACTTTTGCAATGCTAATTACTCGCCACTTATGGGTTTTCGAGGTCATTTCTTGGTGCTTGTGTATTATTCTGGATGTACTTAAATAGTTAGGCACATTAAATTTTAGTTCAGAGAAAAAAGTATTTTTGGCCAAAAATCCTTTAAGGCTTTAGACTTACAATTTTCGTCATTTCGGCCAAAAATGGATTTTGTCTAAATTTCAGTATAGGTATCAGGGCTGTGGAGTCGAAGACAAAACCTTCGACTCCGACTCCTCAAATTTTTATGCTTCCGACTCCGACTCCAACTCCGACTCCTTGGCCTATTTGTAACAACTATTTCTACCATCCTAATTGTAATTTGTATGTTGTAACCTGCATAGGTAAAAAGTAAAACACCGTGGCTATACTGCTACAGCTTTATTAATGATCTGGACGATATTTAAGAACTACAAAAAGATGATAGGCTTGACTTTCAAAGTTTCAATCAAAAGAAAAATAAATTTATTAAGAATTCAAGATATTAACTAGAAAACACCATTAACATGTATATCTAAAAATTCGATCTCAGCATATGAATTTTGTTTAAGCTCATAATCTGATGTGGATCTAAATGATGATCCTACAATTCCTTTTAAAGTAAAGTTATATATTTATGTACATTAAAGAAATGAATACCTAATTAAGGAAAATGGATAAACCTTACATGATTAAGTTATTAAATTAAATTTGCCTTAATCTCACCAAAAACAGGTTGTAGCTAATTGTTTTGTAGCTGAGAGCCTCTGTGCAGTTTTCAACGAAACAAAATTTGATATAATTCAAAATTTCAAATGGTAAAGAAGAGACTTTCGTCCAAAATTATAGTGCTATACTGTGCCTGCTACAATAAATTCATAATAATGCTTATAAAATGGAAATAAATTCTTTTAATAATTTAAGAAAATTAGTGGGATCAGTGGAATCACTGCAATGAATATGCCTGAGTTCATATATTTGTTCTTAGGAACAGAATAGCTTCAGTCGGAGTCGGAGTCTGGACAATTTTACCGACTCCGACTCCACAAGCCGAAATTTCCTCTGACTCCTCGACTCCGACTCCGACTCCACAGCCCTGATAGGTACTCCTGAATGTGCTGCTTAAGGATCTGTTAACCAAAATTTGATATCTTGATTATAACTTGTTCAAATGACTTTTAGAAAATGTTCAAATGATTTTTAGAATATTTTAATTACTTTTGCAATGCTAATTACTCGCCACTTATGGGTTTTCGAGGTCATTTCTTGGTGCTTGTGTATTATTCTGGATGTACTTAAATAGTTAGGCACATTAAATTTTAGTTCAGAGAGAAAAAGTATTTTTGGCCAAAAATTCTGTAAGTTAGACTTACAATTTTCGTCATTTCGCCAAAAAATGGATTTTGTTCAAAATTTCAGTATAGGTACTCCTGAATGTGCTGCTTAAGGATCTGTTAACCAAAATTTGATATCTTGATTATAACTTGTTCAAATGGCTTTTAGAAAATGTTCAAATGATTTTTAGAATATTTTAATTACTTTTGCAATGCTAATTACTCGCCACTTATGGGTTTTCGAGGTCATTTCTTGGTGCTTGTGTATTATTCTGGATGTACTTAAATAGTTAGGCACATTAAATTTTAGTTCAGAGAGAAAACGTATTTTTGGCCAAAAATCCTTTAAGGCTATAGACTTACAATTTTCGTCATTTCGGCCAAAAAATGGATTTTGTTCAAAATTTCAGTATAGGTACTCCTGAATGTGCTGCTTAAGGATCTGTTAACCAAAATTTGATATCTTGATTATAACTTGTTCAAATGGCTTTTAGAAAATGTTCAAATGATTTTTAGAATATTTTAATTACTTTTGCAATGCTAATTACTCGCCACTTATGGGTTTTCGAGGTCATTTCTTGGTGCTTGTGTATTATTCTGGATGTACTTAAATAGTTAGGCACATTAAATTTTAGTTCAGAGAGAAAAAGTATTTTTGGCCAAAAATCCTATAAGGCTTTAGACTTACAATTTTCGTCATTTCGGCCAAAAAATGGATTTTGTTCCAAATTTCAGTATAGGTACCAGGGCTGTGGAGTCGAAGACAAAACCTTCGACTCCGACTCCGACTCCTCAAATTTTTATGCTTCCGACTCCGACTCCGACTCCTTGGCCTATTTGTAACAACTATTTCTACCATCCTAATTGTAATTTGTATGTTGTAACCTGCATAGGTAAAAAGTAAAACACCGTGGCTATACTGCTACAGCTTTATTAATGATCTGGACGATATTTAAGAACTACAAAAAGATGATAGGCTTGACTTTCAAAGTTTCAATCAAAAGAAAAATAAATTTATTAAGAATTCAAGATATTAACTAGAAAACACCATTAACATGTATATCTAAAAATTCGATCTCAGCATATGAATTTTGTTTAAGCTCATAATCTGATGTGGATCTAAATGATGATCCTACAATTCCTTTTAAAGTAAAGTTATATATTTATGTACATTAAAGAAATGAATACCTTATTAAGGAAAATGGAAAAACCTTACATGATTAAGTTATTAAATTAAATTTGCCTTAATCTCACCAAAAACAGGTTGTAGCTAATTGTTTTGTAGCTGAGAGCCTCTGTGCAGTTTTCAACGAAACAAAATTTGATATAATTCAAAATTTCAAATGGTAAAGAAGAGACTATCGTCCAAAATTATAGTGCTATACTGTGCCTGCTACAATAAATTCATAATAATGCTTAT